AGATATCATGTCACGTTGAGCTGATAATATTTATTTTATGCAAAAGTCCTTTTTAGAAGTACGTATATCTCTTTTCTATGTAAATACACTTAAAACAGTATTAAAGGTTGAGAAATTATGTTCTAAAGGTTAAGATGTGTGGATTTTAACATGCTGGCTTGTTGAACACCACACATGTTAAAGTTAACAAGATTGAGAAACACATGCTTAGATTGCTGAAAGAATATCATTATGGTAACCTTTTGTGCTTCCTGCCCATATGTTTTGGAGTTTGTGTACCTAAAGGTACATATTTTATCGGTTCCATTATTGTATTATCAAGACTGATTTTAAGAAATATGTATTCTACTTGTACATCAGTGAAATTCTATTTGTAGCAGCACTATAATATATTTAAGACATTTCAAAGACTTCCACTGTATTAAATCCAGAATCAGACTTGGTCTGGAATGTTATATGGAAATTGTATGGACTACATAGTTCTTAAATTTAAGGCCAAAAAGGATGCAGACTCAAGAAACAGGCTCTCTGTATATCAGGAGTGTCAGACTGGTGGCCTGTGGATGTGTCACTCCAGGTCATACCCCCCCTAGCTCTGTGAATGGAAAAAATGTCACAAAACATTACGTGACGGCAACGTGATGCAGCGAGTTTGACACCTGTGTTGTATATCATTCTTTCTTCCCCAGCCCTTCCCTTAGTATATGGTATGCACAGGTACAGTATATGTGGTACCTCGCTCAATAGTAGTAACTGTAAGAGGGGTCTTGGAGTCCTAGTGGGCAATCATTTAAATATGAGCCAGCAGTGTGCTGCAGCTGTCAAAAAAGCCAACACAATTCAAGGCTGCATAAAATACTGCACCCAGTTTTTGTTGCCGTGATGTAAAAATGATGTAGAGACTCTAGAAAGAGTGTAGAGAAGAGCAACAAAGATGATTAGGAGACTGAAGACTAAAACATGTAGAGAATGGTTTCTGGAACTGGGTATGTCTAGTTGGATGAAAAGAAGGACTAGGGGTGACATGATAGTATTATTTCAATATCTCAGGTTGCTACATAGAAGGAGGGCGTTAATCTATTCTTCAAAGCACCTGAGGGCAAAATAAGAAGCAATTGGTGGAAACTAATGAAGAAGAGAAGCAACTTAGAACCAACGAAAAATTTCCTGACAGAACAATTAACCAGTGGAACAGCTTGCCTCCAGAAGTTATAAAAGCTCCAACACTGGAAATTTTGAAGAAGAGATTGGATAACCATTTGTCTGAAATGGTATAGTTTCCTGCCTAAGTAGGGAGTTGGACTAGAAGACCTACAAGGTTCCTTCCAAATTTGTTAGTCTATGCTACTCTACCCTACCCTACCCTACCTTACCCTACTCTTCTCTTATGTTTCGGAGGGGAAAGGGGGAGGTTATCTGAATAAACATAGGTATCATTTTCAAGTGCTATTCTTTTACCAGTACCTATGAGTACCTACGAGGAAATGATTGGTCATATTTGCCTGGAATACATGCTCTGTGGCTTTTTATTTTCTTACTGAGAAAAATATCCTTTGAGCAGAAATCTTTGTGCAATTAAAATTCAGATGCTTTTCTCTTAGTGGGCATTGCTCACAATGGCTGGCATGTTTTTCACAAAACTGCTAAAGAAGTGTATTTGACAAACTACAGCCACTACTTGTTTATAAGTGGTATTTATTGCAAAATTGGTCCTAGTAAATTTGTTAAAACTGAAGAGATATAATTAATTTGTGAATGTACTTATCTATACTCTATTTAAAAGCATGGTCCATTTTTCTTAGTGTTGGACTTGCTATCTTTCACATTATTATTTTCTGTCTTTGGCAGGAGTAAACAGTTGATAGATAGATAATTTTATAGCTATGTATAAGGCAATATGCTTAGGATTCTTCTCCCAAGCAATCCTATGGTAACTCTACATGATAGCTTACCTTGAAACAAGATGATTTCATAGCTGAAAAGGAGTTTTAACCAGTACATCTTTAAGCATTAATCCATTAATTTGTCTGCAAATTATATACAAACATCTTGTTTTCACTATGCTTCTCTATATCATTTTTGGAAATGTCTGGAGTTATTTGTGAATTGAATACTAGATTTGGATGTGCATTAATTCATTGCCATAGGTTGAAAACCAGACTCAGTAGTGGAAATAGGCACAGTTGAAAAAGGCCCAAATCAGCAATAAAGCATGCCAAAATTTCCAAATCAATTCAGTCAATTCAATTCTGTTTAAAGGGATCAGGTAATTGGGAAGAACATTTGCCAGAAGCTATTGGGGGATACCATTAAATGTACTGGCTTGTAATGAAACACCTTCTAAAGTTGTCTCTAATTTATTCCTTCGTTCAATTTATATGGCCACCTATCTCACTAAATCTCAAAGGAAGAAAGCTGCAATGGATTTCTTACAAGCATCTGGGCATATGATGGCCACTTATCTCACTAAATCTCAAAGGAAGAAAGCTGCAATGGATTTCTTACAAACATCTGTGCATATGATAGCCACATTAATTAATATCTGTTAAAATAACAGTATATGCAAGATAGGTCATCTACAAGTCATTATAGAGTCTGGCTCCAAAAACATAGCAAATTAATTAGTGGTGGGTTTCAAAACTTTTTCCTACCAGTTCTGTGTGAGCGTGTGCTTTGCGTGCATATGTGTGCTTTGCGCACATGCAGCATTTGCAACTCACCTGCTGCAAGCCCTGTGTGTAAAACAGCTGATACGCGGCAATTGGCTGTGCCACGTGAAGCATCTGACATTGAAAAGCAGGAAATAAAGGTCAGTATAGAGCCAGGGTCGGTGAGAGGGGCCTAGCAGCTGACATCAGAGCAAACCAGTACGCTCATAGATGATTCTTGGAGCTACTGGTTTGGCCAAACTGGGCCGAACCGGTAGAATACCATCACTGAAATTAATCATGCATATTCACTATTAAGCAGTTTTCAGGTTATAACCAATATCTAAAAATGATGTCTGTGGGGATATAAATTCCTAGGCATTAGGATTGTCTCAGCTAACATCATCACTTTTGTTCATTTCCATATATTCTCCACTATTCTAATAAAATTGCTGTTGTTGTTGTGCAGGTGGTCTTTGACTTACAATCATTCATTTAGTGAGTCAGTGAGGAAGCCAGATTCACTTAACAACCATATTATTAATTTAACAACTGTGTCAAGAAAGGTGCTAAAATGGGGCAAAACTCATTTAACAAGTGTCCCGCTTAATAACATAAATTTTATGGTTTGACTCTAGCACTACCTGTATTGACTTCACATAGAATCTGTCAACTAATTTGGGAAGTAGCATTATTGATGTGCAAATTATGTACAAAAATACAATCTCAAAGTATGTGTCTTCAAAAGATCATTTTTCATCCTCAAATTCAATTTGATGTATCCTGGAAGTCATTGAAATGAGCTGAAAAATAATTTTTTTCACAAGAAGAAATGCACTTGAAACATGATGATGTTGTTTAACAAATGTCCTATGTTTGGATATGTGTTATTAAAGAAATCTTAACTTTAATTAAATCTTGTTGAAAAATTAATGCTAAGTGAGGGATTTGGAAGAGAGAAGTTGTATGTAGCAGAATAAAAAGATGCATAAGGGGATTTTGGTTTTTTTTTTAACCACAAAGTATTGGGACAGCCCTGACTTCTGACATATGTAGATGAAACTCTATAAATGAAACTCAGGTACTAATTCAAAGTATCTGTTGCTGTTTAAGGTTTGTTAGGAATTTCCCCTTTCAAAATCATCATGTCATATCCTGATTACTGTTTATCCACTCAGCACACTTCTCAATCATATTATGAATGCAGTTGCTTTAGTTTCTATCCATCTTTTAAGCCAAACCTAGTAATGTTATGGGAATGGGCTGGGTGTGAGGGAAGCATGGGGAAGGATTCTGAATCTTTCACCCCCACAAGCACAAGCACACACACACACACCACATTTGATCTGGTAGTTTGCATACAGCTGCTGAATAGCAGTTACCTTTGAAAGGAACATTTGCTCCAATTTGAGTAGAGGAAGCCACCTCAATCATTTCTTAACTAAGAAGGCTTTCATTTTTGCTTGGCAGTGGGAGTTAGGAAAGTACTGGCTGATAACAATACTGAGAGAAACAGCAAAAAAGGGCACCATTTACTGAATGGTTTGCTCTGGATTTTTTTTTAAAAAACATAACCTAGCAGGAATATTTTAACAACATTACAAAAATTAATAGAACTGGTTTATATTAGGAGATCTAATCTGTGGTAAACCTTACAATTGAAATAGTTGAAAATTTCTGATAAACTCTTGGAAGATTTTTTTCCAGATACTTCGGGATACTTTAGAGAAATAGAGAAAGACACAAGATTGTCCATTTGTATTATTATTGATTAGATTATCCTATCTGTATATCATGTTAATGTCTGTGATCAATTAAGTCAAAGTTACCAGGAAGAAACTCTGTTTTCTATTAAAATAGAAATAGTTCTCATAAAGATATGCTGTATTTGTTTCAGCTGATTAAAAGATTAACAAAAAGAAGTACAGAAATGAAAAAGAAGTCATTTTAGTTTCTACTGCTTAGTATTGCAAATCAAGCTGTCTTGGGTTTCCTTAAGCAGTAGCTTACAGTTTTTCCATATCTACTCCAGGTATCTTTTAAATCCCATCTACCCATCTTATTTATTTTATTGCCTTTCTGCTTCCTTCAACTTTGTTGAGCGTAATTATGTTTTTTGTTAAGTGACTTAATGAAGTTGTTGCCCATTTTTGAAGACTGTTTCAGCATGGTCTTGTCACCATAGAATCCATTCAGTGCGAGAATATAAGCTTTGTCCTTTGCATTGAGAGGGCTTGAAGTAAATTGCCTATATGCCACACACAGCCTTCTGTAATAAGTAGATGCAATATCCATCAGTTTTGTCATATTTTGACCAGAATGCTATAGGCACAGTAAAGCCCAATTTTGGCTCATTCGTAGTCATGCTATTTTGTGCTGTCTAGGATCTATAAAGACTGCCTTACAAGCTAACATACCGTTCTTGCATCCCAGCATGTGATATAAATGACATTCTCCTATACGCTGCTTCGAGAGGCTAGGAATGGGTTAAGCTCCTCCTTCTGACATCATAGAGCTGAGTCTGCCATTATAAAAAGCCAGCCTCTGGCTGGCCCGGCCATCTTTTGGCTCAGTTTCTTGTCTGAGAGCATAGTCTCTGGACGAAGTGCTTTTAAACAGCTAAAGGAAAAGTTTGAACTGAAAGATGCAGCAATAAATTTAAAATCCAGCTCCCGGGGATCCGGTAGAGCTCTGTCTCCAGCTCCTGGGGATCTGTTCTCCTGCAGCGCTGAGGCTTCAGCCCTGCTGCGCATGGACTGCAGACCCAGGGAACATTCAACCTCCCACGCAGTCCCACTGATCGCAACCTCGTTGTTGCTGCCACCAGCCAAGTTTTACAGCTGACTCCTGAGCTTTGTTCCTGCTTCTTCTCAGCTGTTCCAGCTTAATTCAATTGTTCGGGGCCTGGTAAGAGCCTAAGGAGTGAAGATGGTGGCTAGGCCGCCCCAGGGCCACCACATACGGTGGGGGGGCATTTTAGAATTGCCAGGTGGCCATTTTGTTTTGGGGGAAAGTACCTCCCCAAGGTCTCATGATTCGCCTGGCCTAGTCAACGGGCAGCACCTACATGGGGGAAGCTCACAGCACCCTTGGTGTCTGCTCTGTTAGCCAGATAGAGAGGGAAGCCCCCCAACCTGGCCCCAAAGGACTGAAAGACTCCCAAGCCCCTTTGAAGAAAAAGAAAAGACAGAGGTCTTCTGCTAACAGAGAGGCTGCTACAATGTGGCACTTAAGGAACAATTTGCAAAAGGCTCAGATGTAGGCCCAGATTCAACATGCTTCTCACTCTGGGGAGGTGCACATTAGCCCTGAAGTTTCTTCCAAGGGGGGTGAATCTGCTCACAGTCACCTCTTAGCTTGGTCCCCAGAGAGAGTGGAGGAAGAACAGTTTCTCCAGGACCTAAGCAGATCAGGGCCTTCCTCTAGACAAGCTATCTGGGGGCCTGGCCATTCCTTCCTCAGTGGTCGGGACTCAAGGAGGGCATAAGCCTAGGCCTGAAGCAACCTACACCCCCACAGCTGTGGGCCTACATCCTGAGGAGAATAGGCCCGAGGACTTTAGAGAAATGGTCTCTGTAACCATAAGGCAGGGCCTAGCAGAAGGATTTAAACAATTCCTTCACCCACAAGGGGAAGGCATGTCCTTGTTACATCAGGGTTTTCCTCAAGGATCCCCCACTCTCAGAAGGGTGTTCCCAGACAGCAGTTCTGTTTCCAGCCCTCCCATTCGGAGTGGGGGGAGGAAAAAGTGGAAGACTATTCCAAGGCCTCTGACCATAGTTGCTCTACTCATTCTGAGGAAGAGGAAGGAGAACTCATAGACCCCAATATGTCTGAGGAAGAGGACTTTAGAGTTGATCAGCCCCACTCAGCAGGGGTTTTCAGACCTTCCTTATTCAAGCCTCTGTTACCCAAGGCTTTGGTTACTGCACAGCTAAGCCCTGAGGAGGTGGCTCCAGGACCACAGGCTGGTCACACGGATTCGTTGTTCTCCAAGCCAGTGGTGCATACAGAGGTCCTCTCCTCCCCACTGATTTTCCTTGATCTAGCGAAGGAACAGTGCACGTCTCCAGGGGCGGGGCCTCGCCCATCTGCTCATGTCAGATTATTCTATAACGTGAGCCCGTCCCTGGCCAATGCCCGGCTGGTACCTTTGGTGGATGCTCCGGTAGTGGCATCGTTACTTCCTCAGGCACCCCACCGAACCAGAGGATGTGCTCAAAGCAGAGGACAAATGGTCTGAGCAAACCCTCAAGTGCACTCACCAGGCAGTGGTTTGGGTGATTCGAGCATCAACGGCAGCCTCTTTTTTTATGAGATTTCAGTCCACTGGCTTCACCAGCTTCAGGAGAGGCTCCCAGCCATCGAATTCAAAGCACACCAAGAACTCAATAAGATAATTGTGGCGGCCGAGTTTACAGTAGACACCACTCTGAGCTCAGCCAAGTTCGCTTCCAGGGCCATGGCTTCTTCAGGGCCACGGCTATTTTGGCTACACAACTGGTAATCTGACTCCCGCCGTAAATGGAAGTTGGCATCGGCTCCATGCACGGGCGATAAGCTACTTGGCGACGTCCTTGAAACAGACTTGACAGAGACCAAGGACAAGAGGACAGTTCTCTCTTCAGCGGGGATAAGGTCCGAGTATTGCCCTAGGCCATACTTTTGCCCCTCATCTTTCAGACCCGAAACCAGCTCTTGGTTCTCTAGAGATCAGAGGTCCTTTCCTGCTCATCAAGAACAGTGTCCTGAACCTTCTGGCAGGCAGCAACGGGCCCTTTTGAGGGGGAGGAGGTTGTTCATTCAGACACTCAAAATGGGTGCCCATGTCCCCCCCATCAGAGGCCATTTTGCTTTCTTCACCTCCAGATGGGAGGAATCTACATCAGATGCCTGGGTTCTTGAGACGATCAGGTTGGGCCTCCAACTGGAGTTTCTCTCCCCACCTCCATGATGGTTTGTTCCCTGCCCCACCTCCAGGGGTTGCTCTAAACGGGCCCTTATAGAATTGGCAATCCAACATCTCGTCTACATACGAGCTGTTCAACAGGTTCCTGAAAATCAACAAGGGCAAGGCTTCTATTCTTGCCTCTTCGTGATCCCAAAGGCCTCTGGGGGGGTGGCAAGCCATCTTGGACCTTAAATTTTTAAACAAATTTATCCCATACAGGTGTTTTACGATGCAGACTTTGCATTCTCTCCTTGAGAGCATTCAAGAGGGTGACCTCTCCTCCATAGACCTCACAGAGGCTTATCTCCACATTCCTAACTGGTTTCATCATTGCCAGTTTCTCAGTTTTTGTTATCAGAACAACCATTTCATTATCAGACTTTACCCTTTGGTCTCTTGTCTGCCCCAAGAGTCTTCACGAAAGTCTTGGCAGTTTTGGCAGCTTTGCTTCGCACCATACTGGTGAGGGTCCAGTGCTACCTGGACGACATACTCATCCAATCGCAGTCAATCCACTAGGCCCATCGCGACCTTCACATCACATTGCAGAGCCTAAGAGACATGGGTTCTTGATCAACCTAAGGAAAAGTCACCTTTCCCGGACGACCAGGTTGCTTCACCTCGGGGCGATTATAGATATGTCACTTTGTGAGGTGTTCCTCTCTGGACCGAGGAGAGAGCCTTCACAGTGGCATCAATCAGATTTGGTGTCATAGTACTATCCTGTTGTCTCTACTGTCCCAGATCCTGGGAAAGATGATCTGCATTGGGATCGTCCCATGGGCCAATGTTAGTGTTTGGGGATAAACCCCCAAGCAGAGTATGCAGCAG